CATATAGCCCCGCCTATTCCAGGACTCTGTAGAAGCATAGTGTGTTTTTAGTGCCAGTTCTGCATTCAGTGCTTCATACACATCCTGCCGCATGCTGCTGCCATCCGCTCAAGGTGACAGCTCCCCTCCCAGCTCCTCCCTGTGTTTTCTGCCTCCATTCCTCATTTTCCCTGAAAACTCGGAACTTTGTCCTTTGGTAGATACACTCCCTTGATCCCAAAGTGGTCGCTTATTCTAAGGTGGGCACACCTCAGTGGTAGTATTTATCCTCTTGCAGGCCTATCTGTGGTTTGGTTGAAAATGTAGCCACAGGGGTGAGTTCACTTCCAGACTCAAAGAGTGACCGTAGGCTTGGGGATTCCACCAATCCCTATCCAACCCTCAAGCCTGGTCTTTTTCATGATGTTGAGTTTCATTCCATCTCTCTCTCCCATTCTACCTAGGCCCTGGTACTGTCATCCTTTTCAAAGCAGTTGGGAGTTGAAGCCCCTGGGTCTCAGGGTCATGGAGACTGATAGTCCCATCGCCCAGTGGTCCACTGGACTTGTTGTTTCTATGTGTTTTCATCATTTTTTTCCTTCAAAGAGACAAATAGTATGAATCCGTTGTAGAAACCTCACATTTGCCCAGTTGTATTCAGTTTAATTTAATTTTGGAAGGCTATCTCATTGTTCCAAGAGTTAGCAAGTAGTTTGTTCATAAGTCGCTAGTTTGCCCCTTTTTGAGTGCCGAGTGATATTTCTTTGTGATGGATATAGCAGTTTCTTTCCTAGGCTTTTATTGCTGGGCATCTGGGCTGTTCCCAGTCTGGGGCTTTTGTGACGAAAACAGCTATGAACATACTTGTGTACGTCTTCTGTAGACGTATGTTTCCCAGCCCCTCCTTCTCCTGGCTGCCCTCCTTGGGACAGATGCTCCTGGCTTTGAAATTGATCCTCCCTAATGCACATTTTTATATCCTGACTTCCTGTCTATCACAATGTTCAGTATTGCTGTGTGCTTTTTTTAAGCATCATTTGGTTCATAGTAAGTAAAATGTAACCATTCAAGAATTTGAAGAAGAGCGTACAAAGAAAATGAGTTTCCTCCCCCGTTACACACAACCCTCACCTGCTGTTTGTGATTCCTTCCAGAAGTCTGGTAGCATATATAATATAGCACATCGTATCCTTGCACAAAGCAGATAGATAAGTAGTCGTGTATTACCCACCATTTCCTGCACTTTCCTTTTTTCACTTGCCACATCTGACTTTCCTTCCGTGGCATGTCGTGACTTAGAGAGCTGTCTCATTCTTTGCAACAGCTGTGGCATGCTATACTGAGGTCATTAGCGGTTCAATGATACACTTTTCTTCTGCTGGGGAGACCCAGGTTTGGTTCCCAGCCAAGGCTCCTCACATGTAGTGATCACTCGTCTGTCAGTGGCGCCTTGCTTGCCGCTGTTATGCTGAGTAGCTTTCCATGGAGCTTCCTGACAAAGACAGCCAGCGAGTTGATGCCTGACTATCAAAAGATATAGTGCCTGGGGTCTTAAGGCTTGAAGATAAGCAAGCGACCATCTAGCTGAGAAGCAACAAAGCCCACATGGATGAAGCACACCAGCCTGTGTGATCATGAGGCGTCAATGGGATCAGGTATCAGGCATGGCATCCAAGACCCAGGACAAAAAAATCATATGTATGTGAATGAGGGGGAGGGCGGAGTGGAGACCCAAAGGCCATCTG